TAATGATAAAAGAGGTAAACTCTAATAAATTTGTGGTTGTTGATCGTCGCCTCATAAATCCGTGCTGGGACGGAGATATAAGTGATTTGCAGAGATGTTGCAAGTGCGGAGTTAAAATTTTTTCAAACATTTTAGGAATAGCGGATAACTTAGATATACCTCTATAATTATTTGCATCAGACTTGCTACCTTTCTTATGGAGCGGAATAATAAAAGATTCCTTCCAGATGGGGGGGGAAGCATGAAGAGTTAATGGATAGGGTGAATAGTTTAAGCAAGGGTCCACACAGAGCGTCGGCACAGTACCTAAGTACACAGCCGGGAACTCCTTCGGGACCTGGTGAAAACACCGGCTTAACTAGTCGAAGATCATGAAGCAGTGAGCTTTCATTTATCAAAGGGCTGAAGATGCCATTCGACCTTGGTAAACTGTATGGATACGGCTGACCAGAGTAGCTTTCATGAGAATAGGTTGTTTGGAAAAATTTCGCAAATAGATCGGCAATTGCCTGATCATTGTTTGCTGACATATTGAGAAAAGATAACGAGGATGGATGTGCGGACGTTCTACGCTTACTATTTACGAAGCTGTAAAACTGTTTAGGGTCCTGTGAAAATCGTATCCTGCATCGAGATAGGTAGTTTTTATAGCATTGAGCGTTAAGAACGAAAGAGAAGAGGGAGAACCAACTTCTCGAAATTTTTTATAAAGTCTTGATTTTAAATTTTTTAGACTGGATAACTCTTTGGTAAACCAAGGAGGCTTTGCAGATCTAACCGGTCAAGAAAGTGGGACACAAGAAACAAAAAATGTGTCAAGTACATTGTAAAAAATGTTTGTGCCTTTCATAACGTCGGTGCACAAGTACAGAGCGGACCAATCAAAATCCCTAAGGAAGAAACAGTTTTTAAAGGGGATAGGTGATGCTCGTGTATTAAGATATCCGAGGAAGGTGGAATATACGAGCAAATAATGAAATGGAAAAGCCTGGGAGAATCAGTTTTACGCACAGGAATTCCAGGTCTTGTTGAACCTGGACCATGAAATGTTCCGACGTGAAGTTTGAGTCCACTGCAATAAGGACCTCCACGTCGAGACGGAAGGTTCATTCATAAAAATTGTGTACCGACCTGCCAAAACTTCGGTGTCTCGGTGAACACAATAACGTGGGACGAGAATGCGAGACTCTCAAGGAAAAGAGTGCTGAGCTTACTACGCAAGCCTCTAGCATTCTGGTAGGTAACTACAAGAGAGGAAGTTAGTTTTTTGGATGGGTGGAAGAAGAGGTGGAAGATGAGGATGGAGATGGAGCACTGGTCTGAATGCTAGGAAGAGTAATGTGGGGCCTATTCTTTTTCTTAGCCTCCGGCCAAAACTTGGCGGAACAAATGGTTTCAAATTGAGTTGGCGAGACGCAGGACACAGGCCTAGTACCTGTGATGGCAGTATCCGGTGGTCCTGGACATCTATTAGCTGGTGGGAGCGAAACTGAGGGAATAGTTAAGGGGTTGGGTGCGGACTCGATGGACACGGACTCTACAGGCATGTCTACCTGCATACTCTTCGAAGTGACGCATTAGAATCCGCATCACCAGCAGCGATCGTTGCCCTTGGAGTAGCAAACGTAATCAACTGCTGCACTAAAGGAGTGGTCGGAGTAAGTTTTTCAGATGCCGGTGGACATGAGGCAGTCGGCACTTGCAAGTCCCGCGGAGTAGACTTCTTGCGCCTCGGAGACTCAGCCAGCAGCTGTAAACTGCTGAACTGAGTGTTCATGGCCAAGAGCCGAACATATTGCTGTTTAAAGCCTACGATCAGCTCTTTGAAGCCACTCCGCGTATGCCTCATGAACGAACGCATGTCGTTTTCCACAGCACGGCATTCCTCACAACTATAATGTAGGCCGTTGTTTTGGGAAATGGCGTCTCCTACACGGCCCGAGATCCCTACACATTTTGCGTGCACTACGCTTTCGCAAAGCCAGCAGGGGATATTGGGCTGGTCATGGGTGATCTGCTTCTTGCAGGTTTTTTTTGGCACAGACGACAGAAAATTCCATATTTATGTCTTTTATTTTATTTTTACTTTGGGAAAAAAAATTTCAAAACAAATAACAATCAGACCACTGTGCAGAGCAAATGCTTAGAGCAATGCTTAAAGCGGAATCGGTAAACGATGAGAGAGGAGAGTGGTTGCAGCAACAGCTTATAAGTGAGAGCGTTACTGCACAAAAAGTTACAAGAGCGAAAGAACAGTTCTTGAGCGTTAGGTGATAGAGAGAGTGATAGACGGCAATAACTACGACAAAGAGCGGCAAATGTAATGAGAGGGCGTACTTACGAAAAGCCACAACACAAACACACGACTAACCGACGCACAAAATTTATTAAATAAGTTGTGTTTTTACACAATTATCAGGCATGCACCCGCGGTAAAAGTATGATTTTAATGTAAGTTAGTTAGAGAGTTAAATTATAGATAAAAACACCGGCTGTTTAAGTTAAACAAAAGGAAAATGCGGAGCGCAAAACAAAAACACGTCTGGTCACTACGAAAGAGAACGAACGAACATGGCATACATACAGTGGCATATGTTCGTCTTGTGCCTATATGAACGCAAACAATGAAAAACAAAAAATATTGTATACACTCACGCACTCGGTGATTGAAATTATCAATAACTCACGCAATGCTTTATTTGTTATTCTTCATCCCTGGAACGAAGATGTGCCACCACGAAACGTGGTAAGGTACAGCTAGTAGCTTTATAAAATGTAACTTATATAAATCAGAGTACATATACTAATTATTATTTTTATTTTTTAAGCTCAATATACATTTTCCGGAATTTCTCCATTTTATTATCCCGTCCAAAATATGAATTTTTTGTGAGATTATTTCATCGTTGGAATCAAATATTTTTACCGCCAACCCATTTTTTCAGGTTTGGAAACAAGAAATAGTCACTAAGAACTAAACCCAGAGAATAGGGTTTCAAGGGAGCAATTCGTAGCCTAATTCATGGATTTTCGCAATGGAAACTGCACTGACCAAATGCTGTCGTTTCTTTTTCGAATTCTCATTAAATCAATCCAATAAGTTGGCATTATATTCGCCATTGTCTGTTTTACCCTTTCTAAAGATCAATGTGGTTAATACCGCCAGAATTAAAAAAAAACACCGCAATGACTCTATTGGCTGAAAAAACCATTGTGGCCTTCTTTTGCCTAGAATCACCCTGAGGAACCGACTGTTTTGACTGCTTTTGTCTCTGGTGTGCAGTGGGCGATCCACGGCTAATCCACGCTTAAGAAACGTCGAAAAACTCGTCCTTATTTTGGCTAAACAACGACGATAAACCTTTCTTTGAAGTTATCTCATGATTTCGTTTTTGGTCGATAGTGAGAAAACGCGGCAGCCATCTTGCGGTAAGCTTTCTCATACCCAAGTGATCATTCAAAATTGAAACCACTTAGCCATAACCATAGCCACTTAACCATAACAGGGCGAATACATTGAAAAAATGATGAAATTTGAATTTGAAAGCTTAATATATATCATGCGTTAAGCTGCAGCTACAAACTGTCTGTGTCGGATTTATAGCTGCATTTTTCAGCTTTTCAGAACTGCAAAGTTCTATGCAAGATACTTAAGTTATGTGAAAAAAACATGAAAAAATACCAGATTTTAAAAATTAAAAAAAAAACTAAACCATAAAAAAAACAGTACTATACAAATTTTTAAAATCCCGAAATCTATCAGAAAAAGTAATTTTGGGCCACAGCGGGAAGAAAAAGTTAAATTTTGTCGAGTAGTGTTACACTACTCGACAAAATCGAACTTTTTTTTCCTCAAGGATCCAAACCGACTTTTTCTGATAGATATGGGGATTTAAAATTTTTTAAAGAATTATGGTTTTTTTTCTATGGCAGAACTTTTTTTTGAAGTCTGGTATTTTTTTTTAAGCTTTTTTCAGAGGTAGCGATAGTTTTTTTCACATAACTTTAATATCTTACGTCTGGTTGCACAGAACTTTGCTATTTTGGAAAGGTAATTAAAACAGCTAGAAGTTGAGCCCAAATACTTTGTGATTTCAGCTTACCGTCTGGGAAATATATAGCATTGAAATGCAAAAATGATGATTTTTGTGCGGTATTTTTAACGAAATTTTGACTTTAAAAACTCAGGAAAAGTCGGGAACAAAGGAACGCGATCAGGTACCAAATGTACAACCCTTTTTTATTTGCTTTGTTCCCAATTGGCAGTTGGGCCCGCCGCCTTCAAAAATGTATTTTTTGTTAATTTTTTCCATTTTTTAGGTTTGGTTAATGAATTTTAGCTCCAAAGTCTCTCCATAGATTTTAATGAGCGATACCTTAAACGACGCCAAATTAACAAGATATAATTTTTTTTCGACTTTTCCTGAGTTTTTAAAGTCAAAATTTCGAAAAAAAAAAAAAAAAATTTTAATTTTTAATTTTATTTTTTACGAACAGAGAGGGAATAAAAAAATTTTAAAAAAACCCCCAAAAAATTTTAATTTTTTTATTTAAATGCGAAGTTTTCTTTACAACCAGACGTAAGATACTAGAGCTATGTGAAAAAAACAAGCGCTACCTCTGAAAAAAGCTTTAAAAAAATACCAGTTGAAGGTGCACGCAGGCTTCGGGGGAATCCAGAGGGCGATGTGGGCTAGGTGGGCGATCTCGGGGGAAATCGTTAGAAAAGAGAACACAAGTATGTCTATTCAAGATACGTTTTATTCCAAGCATGACTTTTACATTTTCATTTTTCGTGATCCCTCTATCTTCCCCAACTCCCCCGCAAGGTATATAAAAACCCGGTGAGGCCGTGGCTTAGTGATTGGTTGGGAACGCTGGGGGTCGAACGCCAACATCCCGCCCCCCTTTGCAATGTATTGCAACTTATGGGGAGTCCAATGCTGCAGAAATGCTTTACGGCCGGCACCCGCCCGACAGCGTCCACCCGAAGACGGTGTGCTGTGCAATGGGGAGCCCCTCGGCACTCGGCAGCATTCCATCGCGGATGACGTCACCATACACGTCCGCTCCCAGAATGAGAGCCACAGTGGCCGGGCAATGAAAGTTGTCGTCTGCCAACGTTAGGTGATTGAATTTGCTCCGTATGCGATCACCGATGGACGCGGAGGGAGTTCGCAGATGCAGCTTCGGGTCCACCTGGAACACGACCTCCAACTGGAAGTCCGGGGACATCGGTGACCGGAGCACTGCTGCACAGGCTTCTTCATCCCCGATCATGGACGTGCGCAAATGGAAGGCCTTGGCCCGCGACGCGTTGATCGCTGACATGGGGCGGCAGGGGTCGATCAACGCCCTGGTCTCATAGGTGGTGGTCCCGTTGTCGACGGTGACGCTTGCGGTCGGTAGTACCTGCGGGTTGCGGTGCTGCAGCAGTGTGGTCAGAGTCGGAGGTCGGCTGGAGGAGGATGCCGAAGTCCTCGGAGGAGTAGGCCGTCGATCAGTCGCTGTGTCCCGCGTTCGAGGTCGGCGGGAGGCGGAGGATGTCGTCGTCGGAGCTCGAGGTCCAGCTGGTGAGGATGGTGTGACGGATGTGGGGCGACGACGATTTGTGTCCGGGATATGCAGGAGGGTGTGGTGGTGCTTGTGGCAATGCCGACACCGGTCTCCGCTGCGGCAGTCGCGTCCCGAGTGCTCATGGGCTAGGCAGTTGGGGCAGTACTGATTGATGAGTGCTGCCCGCAACCGCTTTTCAGCGCTTAGCCGCAGGAACCGCCCGCACTTCCTAAGAGGATGGACGCCTCGGCAGACTCGGCAACGGTAGGACATAGTACCTCGGGTACGTCTGCTGTCGTGAGCTTGGCCCTCGGTGCTTCTGCGTTGGGTGCGTGTGGGCTGCTGGGGTGCCATAATGAGACCGTGGCTGCGGAAATCGGAAGTGAGGATTAGTAATGATGTGCAGGAGAGTTGTACGGACGAGTTGTGCTTAAGCCTAAGGATAAGAAGGCGGATACTTATGGGTCGGGTAGTACGCGGGAGTAGGTGGACTGGATCTCCGACTCCATAGGCAGCAGGACGACCTTAGTAATCGGTCTTTTGATAAGGCCTCGGACAGTGTTAAGGTCTATCACACGGACCTTATCATCGGGCCCAGGGTACGTTTTTTGTACCCGTCCGAGACGCCATTCGTGAAAGGGGATGTTATCCTCCTTGATAACAACGAGGTCTCCCACCTCTAGGTCTCTTGTTGGATGCTGCCATTTGGTTCGCTTGTGCAACTCTCGTAGGTACTCCGTTTTCCAGCGCGAACAGAATTGCTGGTTTAGAGCCTGGAGATGTTGCCAGCGGTTCAGGATGGAGGAGGCGCTCTCTTTTATTTCAGGCTCCGCCACGGAGAGTAGCGGCCCGCCGATCAGGAAGTGACCTGGGCTTAGAGCTAGCGGGTCATTCGGGTCCTCGGACATAGGAGAGATCGGTCGAGAGTTAAGGCAGGCCTCAATTTTGGAGAGTAAGGTGGCGAACTCCTCCAATGTATATTTGGCCGTACACATCGACCGTTGGAACAGAGTCTTGAAACTCTTCACGCCTGCTTCCCAAAGGCCACCCATGTGTGGGGCTCCCGGAGGGATGAACCGCCACGATAAGCCCTGCTGACTGTATACCGCAGAAGTCCGCGTTCGGATGGCTTCGAGAAGATCTACAGCCAGAGCACGAGATGCGCCGACGAAATTCCTGCCGTTGTCGGATTGGACCTCGTGAGGACACCCTCGTCTCGCGACAAAACGAGCGAAAGCGGCTAGGAAGGTGTCAGTGGATAGGTCGGAAGTGGCCTCTAGGTGGATGGCTTTCGTGGTGAAACACACGAACACGCACACATAACCTTTGGTTATGCGGCATGCGCGCCCGATGAAGCTCTTGACGTCGAAGGGACCGGCAAAGTCGACTCCGGTGTATGTGAATGGTCTGGAGAATGTGACTCTTGTGGACGGGAAGTCACCCATTAACTGGGTCTGGAGTCGCTTGCGATGGATTACGCATACCTTACAGGATTGGATCACCGCCTTCACTACGTGACGTAGTCGAGGGATCCAGTAAGTTGCGCGGAGAAGGCGAATGACCAGCTGGTTCCCACCATGGAGGACTATGTGATGAGTGAAGCGCACCAGCAGGCGAACGAGGAGGGATGCGGGTGGCAGTAGGATTGGATGTTTCTCGTTGTAGGACATGGAAGCGGAGGCTTGGACTCGGCCACATGCTCGCATGACACCGTTCTGGTCAATGAATGGATTGAGATTCCGTAGGGAACTCGATGCAGGGAGAGGACGTTTGGTTGTAAGTTACTCTGCCCCGCTTACCTCGTTGGAATTGTGGACTGACCCTCCTCTGCATCGTTGGATGAATCGCTGCACATAGGTAAGCACGCGCAAAGCTCGCCCGAGATCCGAGAATCGGCTGAGGATGTCAGAGGATGTGCTACTTGTATGCAGCACCTTGACTGCTCGCTTCTCCAAGTCAGTCTCCGGGAATGGGTCCAGTGGACACGGCCACTGTGACTGCGGAAGACGCAGCCAAGCAGGACCATGCCACCACATGTCGTTCCCCGCGAGGTCGATGGGTCCTATACCTCGGCTGGCTAGGTCGGCAGGATTGTCTTCCGATCGAACATGACTCCACAGCTCGCCGGAGTTGCAGCGCGCTATCTTGGCGACTCGATTGCCCACGAACGTGGTCCATTCGCACGCTGGTTTGTGCAGCCAGGCCAGCACAATGGTAGAGTCGGTCCAGAAGGATACCTGGCTACTGTCTAGCGGCATCTGTGGAAGGATGGCAGCGGACAATTCTGCCAGAAGAACCGCTCCGCACAGCTCAAGTCGAGGCAAGGATATCGTCCTCACGGGGGCCACGCGAGTCTTAGCTGTCAGGAGAGAGCAGAATATGCCATTCGGCCGCTCCACTCGGACGTAGATCGCCGCACCATAGGCACGCTGAGACGCGTCGCAGAAGCCATGAATCTGCACCTTGGCAGTCGGACAGACGTGGATCCACCTTGGTATGTGGATCTGCTGGATGGCCGGAAAACTCTGCAGGAAGGTCTCCCACGTTTGACGCAGATCGCCAGGAAGGTCCTCGTCCCAACCTAACTCTCGTAACCACACCTCCTGCATGAACATCTTAGCTTGGATGACAAAGGGGGCAAGCCATCCCGCTGGATCAAACAGCTTCGCAATCTGGGACAACACATTGCGTTTCGTGCAGGATTCCCGATGGATTAATTCGGGAGGGACAAAGAAAAACTTGTCGGCACTCGCTTGCCATCGGATACCCAAGGTCTTTGCGATACTGCTTTCTTCGAGCTCGAGGAAATCAGCTCGCAGTAAGTGCTCGAGAGGGATGTCGCTCAGCACGCCCTTCTGATTTGCGGTCCATTTTCGGAGTGGAAAGCCGGCGGAATCGAGTGCTTCTCGCAACTCGGCGATGGCGGAAATTGCCTGAGGCTGGGTATGTGCACCAGCTAGAACGTCGTCTACGTACATGTAATTGGCCAGGATGTCGCTTGCCATTGGGAACCGAGGATGCACTTCATGTGCAAGTTGCCTTAGGACGCGAATGGCGAGAAATGGCGCGCAGTTGACTCCGAAGGTGACCGTATCGAGTTCATAGTCGCACACGTCCCCGTTAGGATTGCGAAAGATTATCCGTTGGTAGGGAGTGTGTTGTGGCGCCACGAGGATCTGCCGATACATCTTATTGATGTCGGCGTTGAAAACGTAACGGAATACGCGCCACTTAAGGATTTGCGTGGTCAAGTCGGACTGAAGGACTGGCCCTGAATGCAATACGTCATTAAGGCTTCTTCCGTTCGAGGACGGGCTGGACGCGTTGAAGACCACGCGCACCTTGGTCGTTGTGCTTTCTGGCTTGAAAACGGCATGGTGTGGAAGATAGAAATGGCCAGAGTCATGACTAGGTGGAACCTGTTTCATGTGGCCTAGCTCTAAATACTCGTGAATGACATCGTCGTACTGCTTCTTGAGAGGCAAGTTTCGCTTCAGACGCTGCTCGTTTCTCAGCCCAAGTCTATCTTTTCTGGACATTTGAATGGAAGAGTGACGATGTATCTCCCGTCGGGAGCTCGCTGCGTGGTCTGGAGAAAATTTTCCTCGCAAATGGAGTCTGACTCGCTCGTAGGTCTCCCTGGAAGGTCCTCCACCTCCCAAAACCTTGTGAGAAGTTTCTCGAGTCGGACGTCAGAGCTGACCGAGATCTTCGTGGTGAAGGAAGAGATGATTCGAGACGAGTCAGCTGCGACAGGACCGGATAGGACCCATCCGAAGATAGTCTCTTGGCCCAAGAGCGAGCCACAAATGTTGGACCGGAAGCCGCTTAAAAGGATGGATGGAAGGATATCAGCGCCTATGAGCACGTCTATCTGCGCGCTGCGATGAAAGGAGGGATCCGCTAAATGGAGTTTAGGAAGGTCTGTCATGTAGTTCTGCGGTACAGGGTATGACGGGAGGTTACCCGCCAATTGCGGAAGAACGTACGCCGTGGTCTCAACCTGGAGGCCGGGCCTTAAGGCGGAGCCGATCGTGAAGTGGCAGAGTTTCTGGGCCTTGGCCGCTACCGTTTGACTCAAACCAGAGACTTGAGCCTGGACGGCTTGGAAGGGGGGCCGAATGATTTTGAACATCCGCTCAGTAATAAAGGTGGCCTCAGATCCGGAGTCGATCAGGGCTCTAGCCTTGTATCTTGTGCCGGCATGACAAATGTCCACTATTGCTGTGCCCAGTAGCACCTGGTGTACATTTGTAGCGCAATAGCTCTGGACATGGGCTGAGTCGTTGGACGAAGGAAGAGAAGAGGAAGTGGACTGTATGGTGGCAGGGGCTTGTGTGGTGTGAGGACTGGGAGCACAGTTGGAGCCACTCGGAGTCTGCTCGCCCCGATGAAGGAGGGTGTGGTGTCGTCCACTGCACGTACTGCAGTTGTACGCGCTGGTGCAGTCCCGGAGTTGGTGTCCTCGCGCGAAGCAGTTTAAGCAGAGTTGTTTCTGCTGAATGTAGCTTGACCGTTCCTGTACGGTCAGGCGAAGAAATTCTGGGCATGATCGCACAGGATGATAGCTCCTGGAACAGAGGTCGCAAGTGCGCGCCTTGTTGGAGATTCTCCCCTCAAAGGAGTTCACTCGTCGATGTGCAGGAGTGGGAAGGCTTGGACGGGAATTGTAGTGCGGCTCGATGCCTGGATGACCGTCCTCGGTCGCCTCGAGAGAGAGGTATCTCTCCTCTAAGAACTTGTTCATGGCGCGCCAAGTCGGAACCTCGAATTTATTCGGAACCGATTGTTCCCAAAGCTCCACGGTCGCCTTTGGTAACTTCGCGGTAATGAGGTACACCAGCACGCCATCTGCAAAGCAGCTGTCGGTGGACACCTCGGAGTGCTGAAGGGTCGTGAGGCATTTGTGGACAGACCTCTGGAGCTCCTTTAAGGCGGCTCCAGATTCAGATCGGATGGAAGGCAAGCTGAAAAGGATCTTCAACTGGGCCTTGAGTATCAGCCGTTTATTTTGGAAACGCTCACGAAGGTGGTTCCAGGCAGATTCAAACCCATCATTCGTAAGCGGGGCCTGTGCAACTATGTCGTGGGCTTCACCGCTCGTTTTCTGGTTGAGGTGGTATAATTTCTCCACCGGAGTCAACCTGGCGTTGTTTATGTAGATGGCGGTGAATAGGTCTCGGAACGTGGGCCACTGCTGGTAGTCTCCACTGAAAACCTCCGTGTCGCATGGGGGAAGGCGGCAATCGTTGGACATTTGCACCTGGACGGCTGGTTGCGCGGTCGGAATGACAGTTGGGGGCTGGAGATGGTCGTTGAGTTCAGCTAAACTTTGCTCGTACACCGCGTAACATTCATCGTATATGTCTTGGACCTCAACTTGACCATCTGGATCCTCTGTTGCTAGAAGTGCAGAACAGGCTCGATACTCCGATTCGACCTCCAACCACATGCCTCGGATCTGTTCCCGGCGGACTTGAGAAAGAGAGATGGTTGGGGTGCGGGCATCAGGAGCATTAAGTTTCTGGTCAAAGTGAGTGAGCCGGCCTGTAGCCAAAACAAACCTAGACCGTGCAGAGCTGGCGGCAGATTGGGCCATTGTTCCTGGAACCGTGCACGTGGATGGTGAGGGACACAAGAGGGTGTCGAATATGGAGGGGCAGACCTTGGAAGTGGTCGGACCTTGCGGGCGTGAGGGCGAACGCGACGAAGTGGGTGTAGTAACTGCTGCGGAAGAGCTGGGCGGCTTGGCGTCACTCTGCGAGCTTACACGCTTTAGTTTTTTGCTGACTTTCTTTCCACCAGAAGGCATACTAAGCTGATGGATCTGCTATGGGAAGAGTTCGCAATTCCTGTGGTACACGGAGGGAAGAGTGCACAGGCGGACGTTGAAGTTGGAATGATACTCGTCGCACACGTAAGTCAGAGGAATTTAAATATTATAATATGTAGTTGCGCACTCGTTGGATGATTTTGTTGTCGGAAGGAAATTTATTAATTACCAAACAAAATATAATTATTAATGATAAATTAATAGTCCTCAACAATCATCCTTTTTAATAACAACTGCGATCAATTATAATTATTAATCACATGAGCGGCAGCAGCCTTGCTAAGGTGGCAAAAATAAAAACACGAGTACCCCCAACCTGTATACATTTATCGATCTTGGACTATCGATCTCAACATAAAATGTACACAACACCAAGAATGCGTATTTGCATATTTATGTATTATGTATGCATGTATTGTTATGTATTGTACGCCGGTGCAATCGGAAATAAAATATTTAATGGGTTATTTTATATATGCGGGCAATTGTTAGTTAATGATCGTGTAATTTGTTTTAGCCGTGCGATTATGTATGGTATTAGTATGTATGGAAGTGCCGGCACGTATGTATGTATGTGAAGGTGCTTATAAGCCGGTGAAAATATATATATACATATGGATGTGAGCTATGTATGTTATGTTGATATAATTGTAATATGCGCAACAAATAAACATGTATATTTTCCTTGTATTGGCGTTTTATGTTGTGTGGGACGGATTGTGTGCACATACATATGTACGTACTTGCACCTGTGGAATGGCGACGGATCTCAGCAGCAGTACATCTGTACATACATATATGTATGAGGTGCCTGTTGTAGGGGGAGAAAAACCTCGCTTGGAATGATTCCGGGAGACCGGTAGGCAGGCAAGAGGGCCAACGGAGTAGGCAGCATGAGTGGTTTAGGCAATTAAGAGCGATAACAGGCTTTGGAGTGCCTATATGGGGTGCCAGAGTTGGCGGAAAATGGGACTTAGGTGATATGTACATACATATACTTGGATGGAGATGCAGATGACGGACGGAGTGTTTTCGAATGAGCAAAGCTGGTACTTAGCTTGGATTCTGGTTCCTCAAAGTTCCCGCGCTGCAAGCTGGATCGTAGGGGGGAATCTCTCCAATGCTTAATGTATCCGGCTCGAAGGACCAAAATGAAGGTGCACGCAGGCTTCGGGGGAATCCAGAGGGCGATGTGGGCTAGGTGGGCGATCTCGGGGGAAATCGTTAGAAAAGAGAACACAAGTATGTCTATTCAAGATACGTTTTATTCCAAGCATGACTTTTACATTTTCATTTTTCGTGATCCCTCTATCTTCCCCAACTCCCCCGCAAGGTATATAAAAACCCGGTGAGGCCGTGGCTTAGTGATTGGTTGGGAACGCTGGGGGTCGAACGCCAACACCAGTTTTCAAAAATTCTTCAAAAAAAAGTTCTGCCATAGAAAAAAAAAATATCATCAAACCATTTCTAAGCCCCAAATCTTTAAGAAAAAGTTCGTTTTGTTCCTTGAGGAAAAATCGTGTTGACTAGTGTAATCAGCACACGAAATTCCCTTTTTTTTGTCTTGTAAGGATGCGATCTAGGCTGGGGTATAACTCTCAGTCAAGCCAGGGTCGAAATTACAGCCATATTTATAATTTGCCGGGACTCCGAGTCATGAGTGGCCATGGGACGGAGATTTCGTCTCGGGGATGCCAAGGCCAAGGGAAACGTGCGAAAGGGGGGTAGAACGGTCGAGATCTTCTGTAGAGTGCCTGGGCAGTCGCCGGGCGGCACCTCGGGGAAACTACAGGGCAAGGGGAAGGAGAGCAGGCGCAGAGACCCTCCCAAAGATACCTGGGCAGTCGCCAGGCGGCACTTCGGGGAAGGTACAGGTCTGCGGGGGAAGGGAAACAGCCATAGATCGCCAGAGGATGCCTGGGCAGTCGCCGGGCGGCACCTCGGGGAAACTACAGGGCAAGGGGAAGGAGAGTAGGCGCAGAGACCCTCCCAAAGATACCTGGGCAGTCGCCGGGCGGCACTTCGGGGAAGGTACAGGTCTGCGGGGGAAGGGGGAGCCATAGATCGCCAGGGATGCCTGGGGCGCGGGCGCACCCGGGGACACAGGGAGGGGGGGGGGGCCCCCCAGCTGGAGCGCCCGGGGAGGTACAGGTCTGGGGGGAGGGAGACAGCCACAGATAGCCAGGGAGCCTGGGGCGGGGGCACCTGGGGAGGGGGGGGGGGGGGACCCCCCAGTACCTGGAGCGCGGGGCACGGGGGGACAGGCTGGGGGGGGGACAGCCATAGATGCAGAGGTGCCTGGGCAGCGCCGGGCGGCACCCGGGAAACGGGAGGGGAGGAGGGAGGGCAGGACCCCCCAGAACCTGGGAGCGCGGGGGCACTCGGGGGGTACAGGTCTGCGGGGGAGGGAGACAGCCACAGATAGCCAGAGGATGCCTGGGCAGTCGCGGGCGGCACCTGGGGACAGGGCAGGGGGGGGAGGCGAGAGACCCCCCAGACCTGGCAGCGCGGGCGGCATTGGGGGTACAGGTCTGCGGGGGGAAGGGGGACAGCCATAGATAGCCAGAGGATGCCTGGGCAGTCGCCGGGCGGCACCTCTGGAAAAACTACAGGGCAAGGGGAGGGAAAACACGCGCAGATCGACAGAGGATGCCTGGGCAGTCGCCGGGCGGCACCTCTGGAAAAACTACAGGGCAAGGGGGGGGGGAAACACGCACCGATCGACAGGTGAAGACGCGCTGGTAGTTTTTTAAGTTCCATTTTTATTTTATCTCTTCTTCCTCTTCTCCTGCCTAACCGCACCGCTCGCCAGCCCTCTTCCTCACAACGGTGAGACTTGCTCACCCTTTCCTAGCTCGCCGTCAATATCTGTCTTCTTCTTCGTCTTCTTGGCTGCTTCCACTGGCACGTCCGTTCAGCTCGCTGGTCTGGAATATATCTCCCCGTTTTCCATGTGCTTGCGATCTTATAAACCCACCCTTGTGGTGCTGGTGATTGAGCTTTCGCTCTCTGCTCTCCCGCTCTCTCTGCTGATGCTGGTGGTAGAGCTTTCGCTCTCTGCTCTCCCGATCTCTCTGTACAGATGTTGGTTGGTTGAGGTTCGTGTCTCCACTCTGTACTGATGTTGGTTGGTTGAGGTTCATGTCTCAACTCTGTACTGATGTTGGTTGGTTGAGGTTCATGTCTCAACTCGGGAGCTTTTATCAGTGCTATCAGTGATGCCCGAGCGATCACTGTGCTTTTCCCTCCCATCTAAGTCACGACCGAGCAAGTACTTAAACTAATTTTGATTAATGCCATAGCTTAACTACTAACAAATGCCGTCACTTAACCTAATAATGAAAATAAAACATAATAATAACAAAATAATAGTAACTAATAATAAGAGATCCTTCATGGTGAAAAAAATAATGTGGGGGAGCGTCTGCTCCTTCACACGCCCTCCTCACTTCGGGGGGTCCCGAATAGTAACGGTGACAGGTCGTGTACCTCCAGTCGCCTTACCCCTGACCGGGCCGTGGCCTTGCGCAGATAGACCGTGATGTTGCTGATCAGGTCTAAGGGCAACTGGCGGTCCGGCGTGTTGATCCGCCACTGCCCAGCCTGCCTCGTCCTGTACCACCGCTACTCCCGGGTGGAGTCGAACTAGCTGTCGGACGCCATTAGTCGCGAAGCGGCCGTCGGGCTCTCTCTCTTCTTCTGCCTCTGCTTCCTGCTCGCTACACTCGGATATATCCGAGTAGTGGGGACCTTCCTCTCCTTTCTCTGCCTCTGCGTTATGGACCACTGGCGGCTGTTGCTTAAGCCATCCTGATACGGCGGCCAATCGCTGGTCCCGGGGGATTCGCTGGTAGTCGGCGAAGGCTTCTTGCTCCGTCCGAAAGCAATCTGGCATCGGATAGCCCGATGGCCCATGTGGGGTGTAGCCACGACTGGTTGTTTTAGCGTTGTCCCGCGTCGTGTTGGCCGTCCTGCCCCTTGCTTGTTGCCCTCCGTTGGAACGCCCGGTTGTGTCGCCACGTGCTTCTAGGAGTCGGCCCGCTCTCTCGTTATGTCGACGCTTCATGTTCGTCCGCCTAAGGAGAAAACCCCTAGCGGTTACTACCTGCCTGTCTTATATGAATGAAATTGGTACCCTCCCCCTATCCTGCTTGAGCGGTGCTGGTGAGAAGGTTAATACATTGGTTCTTAATCTAATCCCTTAAGGGGATATATACGTATGACAGCTTACGGCTTGTGGATTTGCCCTTTCGGGGCGAGGACGTTACGGTAGCGCACTACCGTAAGTGGCCCTTGTGGATCGGTGATCATGCTGGTGTCTTCGGTGTTGTCTCAGTTGGTTCGTCGTCTCCGGTCCCGTGGAATTCTTTGAGATCCATCAAGCTTGCAGTCTTCCTTTGTCGTCCCTCGAGTGTTTGTAGCCGCTGGCGAAGGAGTACCAGAGTCCCAAGTGTAGGTCGCCATTCTCGTCTCCGCAAGCCGTAGGTCTTCTTCTGTTCTTGAGATGCCCGCTGGGTGTTCTCCTGTACCACCTTGAATATTTCTTGCAGTCGCGTTGCCTTGTCATGCGCGGGTTCTGCTTCTTCTCCCATTCCTGGAGTTACTTCGTCGTAGAGTGATCCTGGTAGTCGCGGTTCCCGTCCTAGCACGAGGAATGCTGGACTGAAGCCTGTGGTGTCGGAAGTGCTCCTATTTATGGCTAAACTCAATTCTGGGAGTAGGTCGTCCCATGTTCGTTGGTCGCCATCAAGGTATTGTGCTATCATCGTCTTTATGGTCCTGTTTGCCCTCTCGGTGGGATTTTGTTGTGGCGTATACGGGGCCGTGTGTTCCAATACCATTCCTACTTGTTCGCAAAACTTCCGGAAGGAGCGGCTCGTAAACTGCGTCCCGTTGTCACACACAAACTTCCTAGGGATGCCGAACCTGCTGAGTATCCTTTCCCGAAATGCTTTCTCCAAGAGGGCGGTGGTAGCTTTCCGAAGTGGAACCAGTTCAACCCATTTGCAGAACGAGTCAAAGAAAACGAGGAGCATCGTGTTGCCTTGCTTTGACCGTGGTAAGGGTCCCACGAAATCCGCGCACAGAATGTCGAACGGGCCCTTGGCTTGCCGTGTATACATTTTCCCTGCTGGTTTTCTTTGACTCACTTTGAATTTTTGGCAGTTTTCGCATCGTTGGACATACTGGGCTACGTTTCTGTAGAGTCCCGGCCAGTAATATCGCCGGGTCACCCGGTCAGCGGTCTTTCGTATACGTTGGTGTCCTGCGGTGGGATGGTCATGGCATTCTTCCAGCACCCGCCGACGATGGTCACTGGCGACACATAGTTTCCACGGTTGAGAGTCTTCCTCGTCCGGTCGGCATCCTGTATGCTTGTAGAGCTGTCCGTTCTCGAGAGGAAGTCGTTGCACTTCTCTGGCTGTTCCTTGATCCTTTTGAGCAATCTTGTAATCCATGTGGCATGTGGGTGGGTCCTCTACCGTTCGCTTCAGTGCCTCGATGGGTTGGCGCGAAAGGGCATCTGCTACTATATTCTGGCTCCCTCGGTGGTAGTGGATATCGAAGCGGTACTGTTGAAGTTCCAACGCCCACCGGGCGATGCGTCCTGTAGGGTTATCTATCGAATTTAACCATTTCAAGGCAAGATGGTCCGTAACGACGTCAAAGTGATAGCCCTCTAAATAGCACCGTAACTTTCTGATGGCCCAGACGATCGCTAAGCACTCCTTTTCTGTTGCCGAGTAATTTTCTTCCGCTTTCAACAGGCGGCGGCTGGCATAAGCTATGACTCTCTCCTCTCCGGTGATCTGTTGTGTCAAAACTGCTCCTAAGCCGTAGGAGCTGGCGTCAGTTTGTAGTGTAAACTTTTCCGTGAAGTCGGGGCATGCTAAGACGGGTGCTTGTGTCAACTTCCCTTTCAGGTCCTCAAATGATCTCTGCTGCTCCTCTCCCCAGATCCATGGTTTGTCCTTCTTTAGAAGGCTGGTCATTGGCTGTACAATTGTAGCAAAATTCGGCACAAATCTTCGGTACCACGAAGCCATTCCCAAACAGCGTCTCAGCTCCTTGATTGTATTAGGGGGTATTCTCCGGGTCGGTATGGATCCCTTGCTCGCTAACGACATGTCCTAGGTAGACGATGCTCTTTTGAAAGAAACTGCATTTGTCTTTGTTCAGTCTCAGATTCGCTTCACGCAGCCTTCGGAATACTTCTCGCAGATTATTGACGTGGTCATCCAAGGCTTTTCCTATGACAATGATGTCATCGAGGTAAGCGAAGGCGTACGGTTCCATCTTCGGTCCAATAACGCTGTCCAGGGCTCGCTGAAACGTTGCAGGTGCTGAGTGCAGTCCGAACGGCATGACTTTCCAATGGAACAGTCCTCTACC